TATGTCTGTGATGTATGCCGATGACTCTATTGTTGATGATTTTGCGTACTATTCCTGTTTCTCTAGCTTAGGTGCTGTAGAGGTTGCTAGTGCTTTCCCTGCTAGCGTAGCTTGTCCAGGTTCGACCACCGAGACTGCGTCCCTGTCGTTCACACTCGACTCTGGGGCGTCCAGCTGTTTCTTTCGTGACCGCGCCGACCTCACACCACTACGCACTCCCGTCACTGTTGCCTTGGCCGACCCCTCTGTGGGACCTGTGGTTGCTCGCAGCACCACCACTCTCCCGTGTCCGGCTGCTCCCTCTGGGGTCCTTACAGGTTACTACACCCCCTCGTTCTCTAGGAACCTGGTGGGTGTCAGCCACCTCCACGACCTCGGAGTAGTCACCACTTTTCCCTTAGAGGAGTCAGTTGCCTCCTGCACAGTCGGTACCACTGGGGCCCCTCTGGCCACCTTTCGCAGGGAGCCAGGCTCTGGTCTGTACTCACTACACACCGGGTCCCACCACACTGGGTCAGGTCTGGTCAGGTCAGGTCAGGTAGCCGCTGTGTCGTGTGACTGTCGGTCCCTCACCCACCCGTCGGTCCTCTGGCACCACCGTCTAGGTCACCCGTCGTTCCCACGTCTCAGTAGGATGGCACGTCACCGTCTGGTCTCAGGTCTCCCAGCGTCGCTTGCCCCGCTTCCCCGCTCTCCAGCGCCGCCGTGCACTCCTTGCGTCGAGGGTCGGCAGCGCGCTGCCCCTCACTCCTCCTCGTTCCCCCCCACCACGTCTCCCTTCCAGACCCTGCACTTGGACGTCTGGGGCCCCTCCCCGGTCCTTGGCCCACGTCAGGAGCGCTACTTCCTGATTGTGGTGGACGACTACTCCCGCTATACCACGGTTTTCCCTTTGCGACGGAAGGCCGACGTGCCTACCGTCCTCGAGCCATGGCTACTAGCGAGGGGTGGCGCCCAGGGCCTGTGTGGGCTCCGTCTACACTCGGATCGTGGTGGTGAGTTCTCTTCCACTCGACTGGAGACGTCCTGTCAGGGTCGGGGGATCATCCAGTCTTACACGTTACCAGCCTCGCCGCAGCAGAACGGGGTAGCCGAGCGTCGCATCGGCCTGGTCATGGAGGTTGCCCGGACCTCCATGTGCCATGCCGGTGCCCCCCAGTTCTTGTGGCCCCAGGCAGTCCGCTACGCCGCGCACCAGCTGAACCTGTGGCCTAGTGACGCACGGCCACGGGTGACGCCGGTCTCCCTTTGGACAGGTTCTCCGGGCGTAGCAGCTGACTTCCGTGTCTGGGGCTCTCTGGCTCACGTTCGCGCCCCTGGCGCGAACAAGTTGTCTCCGCGCACCCGTGCCTGCGTCTTTCTTGGTTTCCCTTTGGACGCCTCCGGCTGGTTGTTCTACGACCCGACCACCTACCAGTTCTTCGCTTCTCAGGACGTCACGTTCGACGAGTCTGTCTGTTACTACAGGAGTCGCCCCCACCGAGGTACTGAGGTCTTTTCCCCCCCGTTGTTCCTCACCCTTGAGCCCCCCTCAGTCGCCCCGGTAGCCCCCCCCCCTTCGCGTCCTGCCCCGTCAGGTGTGTCGCACGTCACTCCGCAGTCGTCCCCCCCGCAGCGTCCAGTCCGTGTCGTGTCTGAGGGTGCGGGAGGTGCAGTTGCGGAGGGTGAGGGTACTGGGGCTGCAGGAGCTGGTGGTGTCGGCCCTAGGGGTGCAGGGGTTGTGGGTGTGGAGGTCACTCCCGTGGAGGACACGGCAGCCTCGAGCCGGCGGCCTCGCCCCGCGTCACCCCCTGGCTTCCCGTCCGTCCCGCAGTTCCCTCCTCGTTCTTCTCTGCGGCCGGTTTCTGCGGAGCCCGGGGGTGCTACTGCGGGAGGCACTGGAGGCCCCGGGGGTGTCGACGGTGGAGGTGTTGGTTCTGGGGGTGCTGGTGCTAGAGGCTCTGGCACTGTGGCGCCTACACCGCGCACTGTACGTTTCCTGACCCGTGAGCAGCGTCTCTTCCAGTTGGAGAGGGAGGAGCGTGCGCGGTTTGAGAGGGCACAGCAGCAGCAGCAGCAGCAGCAGCAGCAGCACGAGAGAGTAGAGGAGGAGTCACAGCCGCAGCAGGAGAGGGTAGAGGAGGAGTCACGGCCGCACCAGGAGAGGGTAGAGCAGGAGTCCCACCCGCAGCAGCAGGTGCAGTTACAGACCCACCAGGAGAGGGTAGAGCAGGAGTCCCACCCGCAGCAGCAGGTGCAGTTACAGACCCAGCAGGAGAGAGTAGAGGAGGAGTCCGGGTCCCAGCAGCGGGTGCAGCTGCAGTCGCAGCAGGAGAGGGCAGAGGCGGAGCCACAGGAGCAGCAGCAGGGGCCGGTACCGTCGCAGCAGACGCCAGAGGAGGCGGAGCAGCAGCGACTGCGACTACGCGACCTCCCCGACCCATCACCTGCACGCTTTGTTCGTGGTCCCCTATCGTCCCCTCCTGTTCCCCCTGTTGAGTCCCTTTCCTCGTCCCAGTGGACTCGTCGGTCTCCCCTCAGTCGTGCTGTGTCCCCAGAGCGTCGTCGGTCCCGTTACCGTGCAGACGGTCCGTTCCACCTCGTTCTTCGCTCTCGTGTTCCACCTCCTCCCGTCCTTCCACAGCCCCCTGAGTCGTCCCTCACTGTCCGACTACCTTCGTGCCTCTCGTCCTGTCGTCTCCCGTGTTTTGTCCGCGTTGGTCACTCACCCGACTGCACCCTTGTCGTCTGTCTCAGCACTTGTTACCACTGTCACTGACTTTGCCTCTTCCCACCGCCTTGACTACGCCGCTCACCTGGTGAGTGGCGCTGCTCGTTCTCCGTCCTCTGGGGGTGCTCCTGTCTTTCCCTTGGAGGTCCTGGAGGACAGGCAGTTTGAGCTTGGTTTCCTTGCGGCCGCTGTTCCTCATCTCTGCGCCATGCTGCTTGCCCCTGAGGGGGATCCAGACGCTCTTGACATTCCGATCCCTCGCACTCACGCTGAGGCGGTCTCGGGACCTTGGGCCTCGTACTGGATAGCAGCTGAGGAGGCAGAGATGGCATCTTATAGGTCCACAGGCACTTACGTCGACGCAGTCCCACCACCTGGGACGAACGTCGTCAGTGGCCGATGGCTCTACAAGGTGAAGCGGCCGCCTGGATCACCACCAGTGTTCAAGGCGCGCTATGTGGCGAGAGGCTTCAGTCAGCGAGAGGGGGTGGACTTCTTCCAGACCTTCGCTCCCACCCCGAAGATGAGCACTCTTCGGGTGTTGCTGCACATTGCAGCCCAGCGCGACTACGAGTTGCACTCTCTGGACTTTTCCACCGCGTTCCTTCAGGGGAGCCTGCACGAGCAGATCTGGCTGCGTCGCCCGCCTGGCTTCACTGGCTCTTTCCCACCTGGGACCCAGTGGCAGCTGCGTCGACCAGTCTACGGCCTGCGTCAGGCTCCACGTGAGTGGCACGACACACTTCGCTCGACCCTTGCAGCGCTTGACTTCTTTCCGTCGTCTGCAGACCCGTCACTGTTCGTCCGCCGTGGCTCGACCCCGTTCTTTGTTCTTGTTTACGTTGACGACCTGGTCTTCGCCACTCCCGACCGACACGCACTGGCCTCCGTGAAGGAGGAACTGCAGAGGAGACACGCTTGCACTGACCTTGGTGAGTTGCAGCACTACCTTGGCCTGCAGATCACTAGGGACAGGGCAGCTCGCACCATTACGCTGACACAGTCGCATATGGTCGAGCAGATCCTCACGCGGTTTCGCTTCCCGTTCTCCAAGGTACAGCTCACCCCTCTTGGTGTGGATCATGGGCTCACGGCTCCACCTTCGGACGAGTCATTTGAGCCCAGTGGTCCATATCCTGAGCTGGTGGGTTGTCTCATGTACCTGATGACATGTACTCGCCCAGACCTAGCTTACCCTCTTAGCGTCCTTGCGCGCTTTGTTGCGCCTGGGAGACACCGACCGTCCCACTGGTACGCTGCTAAGAGGGTGGCGAAGTATGTGGCGAGTACATCAGGCATGGGACTTGTCCTTGGAGGGAAGCAGCCAGTTACACTCACAGGTTACTCGGACTCGTCGTGGGCCGACGACGCGGAGACGCGTCGGTCTACACAGGGGTACTCCTTTAGCCTCGGGACAGGTGCTGTTTCGTGGCGGTCGACTCGGGCGTCGTCCGTCTCCGGTTCCAGCTGTGAGGCAGAGGTGTACGCTGCGGCCACGGCCGCTCAGGAGCTTCGCTGGCTGTCTTTCCTTCTCACCGACCTTGGTGAGCGGCCTCGCTCTCCCCCAGTCTTGTTCGCCGACAACAGGTCTGCTGTCCTGTTGTGTGAGGAGCCCCGACTGGTTGGGAAGTCGAAGCACATCCAGCTTCGTTACTTCCTTCTGCGTGAGTTGCAGCAGCGTGGCCAGGCACTCGTACGACGTGTGGTCTCTGAGGCCAACACGGCAGATATCTTCACCAAGGCGTTGCCGCCTTGTGACCACCAGCGTTTCTGCACCCAGCTTGGCCTTGTGCCTGCCCGTCCTCACTTGCTTACGTAGAGATGCTTTGTCCTGCTTGTCTTGTACTCTTGCATCTCATTATATTTGCTATATACCTGCATGTGGACTGGCCTTGTGGCCTCTTGCTTGCTCTCGGAGTGTGTGGTGACTTTGAGCTCCACCCTGAGGTTTGTCTTGTTCTTGTGGATTGGTCTTGTGACCCTTGCTTGTTCTTACTGACCGGTCACGTGACCCTTGCTTGCTCTCAGAATGTGTGTGTCCTTGAGACCCACCCTGAGATTTGTGTTGCTTTCCACAGGACTGCCGTCACCTAGACTATGGGGGTGTGTCAACATATATTTTATATGTTTAGTTTATGTTAGTCTAGGTGTACCATTTCATATTCCTAGGGTTAGCTATATCCTCTTGTATCTCGTTTCCCTTGGTCAATCTTTTCACCCGAACTAATCTAGACAAGTGAATCTCACACACGTCTCCACCTTCAGAGCGCCTCACCTAGGCGACTTCGAGATGGTCAATGACCCCCCCTTCACCGCCCCTTCACTGCCCCTTCACCGCCCCTTCACCGCCCCTTCACCGCCCCTTCACCGCCCCTTCACCCCCCCTTCGCCCTCGTTCCCGCTCTCCCCGGCGCCGCCAGTGGCGCCACCAACACTGCCCCGGGGTCTCCGCCCATCTCGCTGCCTGCCGATGCGCCTGCTGCCTGTCGTGCTCGTCATCCTCACCGTCTCCTTGCGTGCCAGCACAAGGTCGCTCATCTCGCCACCACCTACAACCTGCAGCTGCACTATCGGCCTCCCACGCACCACATGCGCTGCAAAAACCTTCCTACTCCTGCACTAGCACGATCCGCCTAAACATCTGCGGCCCATCTTTCGAGTGCTCTAAGCTAAGCGTCGAATCCTTCTATTCACTTAAAGCTAAAAATGGAGGCCGGATTCGGTGAGGGCTCCATTCCCGTCCGGTACGCTGCACGTGATGTTTTACAGAGGCAGGGATGCTGAAAGTCTTGCCACAGCCGCGCTAGCTGGAATCTACTATGGAGACGCAAACAGGATCACACTGTAGCCTCTTAGAATCTTTGGTAAAAGGAAATTGAATACTTCGTGGCGAGGGTTGATAGAAGCGACTGTTGGCGGCTCAACAGGGAGGTGGAAGTTGGATCATACTATGACGTGACGCACTGCGTTGCTCTCTCATCCATTCCTCGAGTGTGAGCAGCAGCTATTCTGACATTCCCGACTAAACATGGCGTGATGGCATCATAGCTTCGAGTGCTGCACGCAGGTCTAGCCCCACTGGAGAGGCTCACGGGTCCAGCCCCCCCGACTGGAACGCTGCGACGGCAGCACCGTAGCTTCGAGTGCTGCATGCCCGTCTAGGCTGACCGGGGAGGCTCACAAGCGCAGCTCTTCCGACTCGAAACGTGCGATGGCAGCAGCAGCTTGTTTGCAGGAAGTGATGCAAGAGCGGGGTTACCAGCAGCAGCTTTCACGAGGGCCAAACCGCATAGTCGCACGTTTGCCAAAATCGCTGCGCGAAGCACTTGCGACGTATCGTGGCTCTGGTTTTTCTCGTCCGTGGCTCTGTGGGATTTGTGGAAGGCGACAGAAATCCCCAATTTGTTCGTCGCCTGCATGAGAAGCGGGAATGACACATTCCCAGCTGGTGCTGTATTTCTCGGGGCCGTTCTAGCTTCCTCCGCCTGCCGGCTGGGGGGGCGCGCGCATGCGGCAGGCAGACACGCCTGGGGATCCTGGGACGGGGAACGCGGCTGTCGGGCTGGTGGCTGTCGACGGGGACACACCTAGATGAACCGAGGAGATGGGATCGTTGTAAAGAGGCTCTTAGGTGGACACGTCTCGTTGGAATTTTCGAACTTGGCGCAACGAGAGGCAGTAAGATCAACCTGACATGCCTCCGCGCTTATAACGTACCTTGTGGATCCACATCTGCTCTTGAATTTCCAGCCCTTCTATTTTACCCGTGCCTGTTTTCTTTCCTCTAGCCGTCCAGACTAGTATTAGCTGCTCGATCTCGCAGTATGGAGTGCACGCATATCCTCTCCCTTCCGACGCAACTCCTGGTGAAGATCTTATGGCATACCAGCCAGTCCATATCGGACGGATCTGAGAGTGGCGATTACAAGTTCTTGAGTACAAGGGGCGATATCTGCCGTGGACGTCCGTCGATCTTTCCTGAGAAAAGCATCACTCTCGCACAAGCACCTCTGGCTTCCGCAGATGTGGCGTGGAATTTCCTCGTAGCTTCCGTCTGCCGTGACTGGCGTCGTCTCGCGGAGCGCCACGTCAGCAGCATTTCTGTCCGAGAGGATCTCGCTGTCTCCCGCCAAGATCTCGTCGCTTCCCGAGTCTGACCCACCTTCACCTGCACGACGGCAGCGCGGAGTGCGTCGACGACGCGTTCCTTGCTCACCTCGCCGCCACCTGCCCTAAGCTGAGGGCGCTTCACGTGGGGACCAGGATCAACCTGTTTCACCGTAACCCGCGGATCCAGGTCCCAGAAGACTCGCATCCGATCACTGAAGCGGGTTTGGATCGGTTCTTCTGGCAGTGCACAGGAATCGAGCACCTCGCGCTCTTCTGCCTGCACCAAGATGTTCGTCTCCCACCTTCCTTCTTCCGACTCACGCGCATGCGTTCTCTTGTACTAACAGACTCATCTGCTCTACAAGTTCCAGGGTTTGCCGATTTCAGTTCGCTCACCGCTCTCTATATTGCCTCACCGCACCTTACTCCTGAGCAATTTTTAAGTCTCCGTCATCTGCCAAGCCTTTCCAGTCTTTCCGTATCTCATCACACCACTGTGCTTGGGCGTGATGCCGACTCTGCCTCGTCCCCACCTCTACAACTGCCCTCTCTGAGGTCGCTGCGAGTCAACGGCATCTGCCAAACATTCTTCGACCTGTTTCCTTCAGGCTCGCCAGGCACCGATCTCCAACTGCTGGAAATCGCCTCTGTCAGCGCCGCTGAGATTCTCCCCGCTGGTATTGGAGAGCTGATGCCGTGTGTGCGGGAGTTGAGTCTTGTCAGATGCGCGAGCGTGACGGAGCTGCCAGAGGAGCTGACCTCCCTCGCACGGTTGGAGAGCCTGCGCATCTCCTCTTGCACCCAGATCTCCCGCCTTCCAAGAAACCTCGGGGAGTTGTCGGCACTCAAACGGTTGGAGCTGTTCGCGTTGCCTCTCACAGCCCTCCCTGACTCCCTCGCCCAGCTCACACGCCTCGAATTCTTCTCTCTCCTCGAATGCCAGGGGGTTCGCCGGCTGCCAGCGGAATTCAGCTGCCTCACTGCTCTTGAGACGCTGTATCTTGGACAGATGCTTCCAGACGGCATCGGCAGGCTCAGTAACCTGAAAACTCTTCTCCTGGAAGAGCACGGCCATGTGCAGCGGCTGCTCCCGTCTTCATTCACGCAGCTCTCTCTCTTGACACGTTTTGAGCTTAACAGGTCCACGATTGAAGAGCTTCCTCAGGACATAGCGATGCTGAGTAGCCTGCAGCACCTGTGCTTGTGTTCCTGCCCTAATCTCAGAATGATCCCTGACTCCGTCTCAGGCCTCACAGGGTTGGAGATCCTAGTGATTGATAACTGCTATCACCTCACGCCAGTTCCAGGGCTGGATGCTTTCACAAGGCTGAAGCGGCTGGAGGTGGTTCACTGTGTGGCTGAGCCTCCTGCATCCCTCCCTCCGTCTCTGGAATTCCTAGCCATGCCGATGTACAGTCAGCGCGCTCCTCCCTCCACCATGCCCCACCTGCCGCATCTGAGGAGCCTGGAGCTCAGTAAAGTTGATGCTGGAAGCAACCTGGCAGCGATCACGAGTGCATGTCGACTGAGGAGGCTGAAGCTGCAACTGGCGGGAGAAGCCGAGGATCTCCCCTCGCCCTTTCCACACCTCCCGCACCTCCACGTGCTGCTGATTCTGGAATCCCCCAAGCTCAGACGGCTCCCAGAGCGCATCGGATCGCTACTACCACAGCTGCGAGAGCTGGTAGTTCAGAATTCATCGTTGAGAAGGCTTCCGGCAAGTGTGTGTGAGCTGCAGTGCTTGATCGTTGGAGATCAGAGGATGCATTCGCCTGGCACCTCTCCCTCATGACATTGGTGCATTGACTCGCCTGCGCAGGCTGAGCGTGTGCTTCTGCAGGTTCTTGGGGGAGCTGCCTGATTCCCTCACCCAGCTCACATGTCTGCAGGAGCTGAATGCTGGGTTTACTTGCCTCCACTCCCTCCCATCGGGATTTGCTCGATTGTCCAGGCTGAGACGACTCTATCTGAACGGCTGTGAGAATCTGGAAGTGCTGCCAGAGGAGGTGACAGAGCTGAGGATGCTGCGCTACTTGGGTGTGAGGGATTGCCCGCAGCTGCTGAACAGTGACAACCGGGTAGACACTCATGGCGTTGACCGGATGTATGGGCTGGAGGTGGATGATTTGGGGACTGTCATGGACTTTTGAGTTTGAAGTCGCGGGAATAGAGATTGCTGCTTGTGTGTTTCTTGTAAAAGGAGTACTGTATATGTATTTAGGGTGTGGCTGGTAATTGCTGGGGGCATACTGGTACTGTAGGTAGGTGTTTCTGAAATGTGACAATGCAACAGGTGTGAGGCATTAAAGCTTTTGTACGGTATCAAAAATGTGCTGAGGGCATTGAGAAGGTAACGAAAATAGGGGAAAAACAAGCCATTTTTTTGTTCGGAAACGCCCACGTATACCGTACAAGAGGTAGGAAAATTACCGTAGCCCCAATTTCTCTCCAGCACTGGAAACTACATCTTTTTAACCCTAATCAGCCTTTTCTGGGGCCCTGCAGCAGAATCTGCTCAAACCAAAACATTGCCAAATAGGCAATCCTACTGCTAAATTATGCTAGCTAGAAGGCACCTGCGTATCATGTTGAGACAAGGCAAGCCCTCCAACCTCAGCTACGGCCTTGTTAGGAAACTAAGAAAACTTCTATGGCTTAATAGCTAATGGCTGCGGGTGGGTACCGTAAGTTCTGGAGCAGTGGGTCACTTGGGGATCTTGATGCGTGGAATGACCAGGGTGCTCACACCGTGAGCCGCCAGGTACTTCCCACAGTGAATATCACGGTCCTTAATCTGCGCCCACCCAAGTCGTGCGAGTACCGTCTTGGCGCCGGGTGTGCCGACGGCGACGATGGAGCCGCCCAAGGTGATGAGTGCAAGGGGAGTGACGGGCGTGAAGTACTTGGCGATGGGGTAGCCGGGGATGAGCGTGGGCATGGTGGTGCCGTGCGGCAAGCGGCGCAGGCGGTCGAAGTGGTACGTGGCGTTGATGGTGTTGTAGAGCGGCGCCAGCACCAGGTACCTGACGTCACCCATGCCCTTGGCGATCATGTTCATGAATGCGAAGTTGGACGGTATCAGGTACGTGCGGCACCCCAGGTACCTCAGGTCACCGTTGTTCTTCTCTGTGCAGTTACCACCACAAACGACGTGCAAAAAAGGTAGGAGCAAATAAACGAGACAAAATATCGGAAGGGTTACTTGTTTGATTGTTAAGCGGATGCCAGTAGGAAGAAACACGAGAAGGCTCACTGGCGGTGGTGGCGATGTTCCTGAAGAAGCGCCCCATGATGGTGTACTTGATGGGCCGGAAGTGCAGCCTCCACGCCAGCCGCGACACCTCCTTGAGCATCTGCGCTTTGGTCGCGGCGCACCCAGTGGCCAGGGGCGACACCTTAGAGCTCGCTGCTCCCACGGCGCCAGAGGAAGTGGCGGCGCTCAGGGTTGCGCTGGCGAGGAGCTGGTCGAGGTGCATGAGGACCTCCCAGGGGTTCTTCATGGACCCCGCCACGCGCTCCAGCCGCGCCACCAGCTGCTTCACCGCCGGTGTCGCCTCCATGTACCCCTCCTCGTCGCCGGCGGCGCCCGCGCTGGGGGGACGTCGCTGGCATCGGGGGGGACGTCGCTGGCGTCGGGGGGGACGTCGCTGGCATCGGGGGGGACGTCGCTGGCGCCGGGGGGGACGTCGCTGGCGTCGGGAGGGACGTTGCTCGCATCGGGGGGGACATCATCGCCTCCTGGAGTGATGCTGGATTCGTTCGGCGCTGTGGTTGGGACCGGCGAGACTATGAGGAAAAAGACGACAACTTGGGGTAGTCGACGAGAGAAGCGACGCATGGTTGACCGCGTATGCGTGGCGTGAGCCATAGTTCGCGATAACTACTACTGTTCCAGAAAAGGAGATAGGGCACATGGCCGGGCCGCAGTGCGGAGCAGAGTGACTCAGTTAAATCCAGAAGGAGCATGTTGAAACAAGAAAAGCGGAATCGTGACGCGAGCGATGGCCTATTTCACAGCAACAAGAATGGCTCTCACTTCGCTTCTTTGACGCAAGAAACGGCCGTGCGTGGGGCTTCTTTCCCTTGTACAACGTGGATATGTGCACGAGGTTGTCGGTAGTCGTGTTGTCGGTAGCCGGGTGGCAGAAATGCTTTGGTGCGATAATGCACCGAACAAAGGTTTTAGGCAAACCGGAGGTCGAGACAAGGCAGTGCACTGGCTCGCCTTGGTACGCACCAAGCCGACCTAACCACCAAGCCACAATCTAGCCCAGGGAAACCTATTGCGGGAAAAAAGAGTTGGTACATAAGGGTGCGTCAGATCCGTTACAAGGTGATTTGGCTGGAATTTGGTCGACAAGTTGGTCGACTATATCTTTCGCCAAAGTCGACAACATGGTCAACTTCAAAAGCGACCAATATCCGGCCACATTTACAGGGCCGAAAAATCTGACACATTTGGTGGCCGATTTGCAGGCCGCTTTGCAAATGTGTCAGATTTTCAGTTCGCCAGGGTGGCCGGATTGTGCGACGGAGTCGCGGATGCAGTACTTGTGTGACACGTTGCGTCGCACGAGCTGGCGACATCGCATAGTGAGTGTAGCGATCTCAGGTCGACAAATTGGTCGACTTTCGAGTCGAATGTGAGAAGAAACGAGGGTTGAAATGACTAAGGGAAAGTTGGGTACAAATACAAACCCTAGAAAACTGTACCCCATATGTGCTACCCCACTATAGCCTACAGTAGCTCTGTCATATAAATCTGACACACCCCCATAGGCAAAGTGGGGGAGAACAAGGGGTCACAAGACCAGTCAAGCAAAGCAAAGCAAGCTCAGGGTGGATCACAAAGTCACCACACATTCCGAGGACAAGTTCAAGGCCACAAGGCCAGTTCACATGCAGGATTGCACATATATATAAGGCTAGACAAGAAAGAGCAGGTGTATATATATATGCAACAGTACAAACAAGGTCAAGGGGTGAGCAAGTGAGGCAAGGTAGGCACAAGGCCCAGCTGAGTACAGAAACGCTGATGATCACAAGGCGCAAGTGCCTTGGTGAAGATATCAGCAGTGTTGGCCTGAGAGGCCACGTACGCAAGCCGCAGCTGACCACGCTGCTGTAGCTCACGAGCAAGGAAGTAGCGGAGAGCAATGTGCTTCGTTCTGTGCTCCAGTCTCTACTCTCGACACAAGGCCAGCATGGCCTTGTTGTCTACGTACAGCACTGGAGGAGAACGAGGCGGCTCTCCGAGGTCAGTCAGCAGGTAGGTGAGCCAGCGAAGCTCCTGTGCAGCCATGGCCCCGGCGTAGATCTCAGCCTCACAACTGGAGCCGAGAACAGAAGACGAGCGGGTAGCCCGCCACGAAACAGAGCCGAAACCAAGGCTGAAGGTGTAACCCTGTGACGACCGCTGCGTAGCCTGGTCGTCAGCCCAAGAAGCGTCTGCGTGCCCAGTGAGGACCACTGGACTCTGCCCTCCAAGCACAAGCCCCATGCCCGACGTACTGCACAAGTAGCGCAACACCCTCTTTGCTGCAGCCATGTGCTCCGGTCTGTGTCTCCCAGGAGCAACATAGCGTGCGAGAATGCTAAGAGGGTATGCAAGGTCAGGTCGTGTGCAGGTCATCAGGTACATGAGGCAGCCAACAAGCTCTGGGTACGGGCCACTCGACTCTACGGACTCATCCGAAGGCAGAGCTGAGAGCGAGTGGCGAGTAGGCAGAGGAGTGGCCTGAGGCGAGGAGTACGTGAAGCCGAAGCGCTGAAGGACCTGCTGCACCATGTGTGACTGAGTCAGGGTAATGGTGCGGCGTGCTCTGTCCCGGGTGATCTGCAAGCCAAGGTAGCTGCGCAGTTCACCCAGGTCTGTGCACGTGTGTCTCTTCTGTAGCTCGGACTTCACGTGGGCTAGTCCAGCAGTGTCAGCTGTGGCAAAGACCAAGTCGTCGACGTACACGAGGATGTAGAACGGCGGCAAAGAAGTGTCGGTGCGCAGAAACAGCGACGGGTCGGCAGTAGAGGGAGCAAACCCAAGAGCCGCAAGTGTAGTCCTCAGTGTGTCGTGCCACTCACGCGGTGCCTGGCGGAGACCGTAGACTGGCCGCCGGAGGCTCCACTGGGTGCCAGGAGGAAAAGACCCAGTGAAGCCAGGTGGGCGACGCAGCCAGATCTCCTCGTGCAGGCTGCCGTGCAAGAAAGCAGTGCTGAAGTCAAGAGAGTGCAGCTCGTAGTCGCGGTGAGCAGCTATGTGCAGCAGTACCCGAAGAGTGGTCATCTTCGGGGTGGGAGAGAAGGTCTGGAAGTAGTCAACTCCCTGCCGCTGACTGAAGCCACGAGCCACGTAACGCGCCTTGAAAACAGGCGGAGAACCCGGCGGCCGCTTCACCCTGAAAATCCACATGCCACTGACGATGTTCGCCCCAGGCGGGGGAACCTCGTCAACGTAGGTGCCTGTGGACTTCCAGGAAGCCATCTCTGTGTCCATAGCTGCCTGCCACTGAGAGGAGTAGGGACCCTCTATCGCCTCCGCGTAAGAGCGCGGAGTCGGGATGTCAAGTGCATCCGGGTCTCCCTCAGGGGTAAGCAGTACGGACACGAGATGAGGTGAAGCAGCAGCCAAACACTGGAACTCCTCCTGCCTGTCCTCAAGGACGTCCGTGCCAAGGGCACACTCACCCCCGACGGACGGAGGACAGACAGACTCAGACTCAGCGACAAGACAAGCAGCGTAGTCTAGACGACAGCGAGCAGCAAAGTCGACGAGCTCAGCAACTAGGGCAGACGCAGCAGTGGACGCAAAGGAAGGGTCAGTGACGACAGTAGCAAGGAGACGCGTGACAGTAGGACTGGCAGCACGAAGAGAGTCCGACTCTGGGTCGGGAAGAGCAGGAAGAGAGGACTCAGGAGGAGAAGGCAAAGGGGCACGCAGAGGAGCAGTGGACGGACGCAGAGACATCCGGTGCGTGCCAGGGACAGGAGGAGGACGCTGACGCGAACCACGACCACTAGCGCGAGCAGTACGGACAGGCGACGCAGGACGCGACGCTGGCTCACGACGCTCAGCAAGACCTCCAGTAGGACCAGTGTAGGGAGAAGGAGCGGGCAGTGGGGAGGCCGGCTGTAACTGTAACTGTGACAAGACAGGCTGTGGACACTCTAAGGGAGGAGGAGGACCAGTAGAAGGCGGGAGACCAAGAACCTGCTGAAGGAGCGGAACGAAGTACGGCCGAGGCCGCGCGGCGACTCCAGACACAGCAGGGACAGCACCAGTACCCCCAGCGGCAGCACCAGCGCCAGCAGCACCTCCAGCTCCAGTACCTCCAGCAGCACCAGTAGCACCCCCAGCAGGCCCGCCTCCAGGACCGACAGCAGTAGCCTCAGCGTCAACACCCTCAGCAGCTCCAGCTCCAGTCGTACCCGCAGGCCCAGCAGCTCCAGTACTCCCAGTACGAGCACCTCCGGGACCCGCGGCACCAGCACCCTCAGTAGCCGAAGAACCTCCAGCTCCAGCAGCACGCCTCCAGCGCCGGGCAAACCACTCGCGCAGCTCCTGTGGAGAGAGTGGCTCCCGCCGAGACGAAGCACCCGGAGAACCTCCAGGCTCAGCACCGCCAGACGCCACACAAGCAGGCCCAGCTCCCTCAGGCTCCACACCCCTAGGCCCAGCACCTCCAGGCGTAGCACCCCCAGGCTCAGCACCCCCAGGCTCAGCACCCCCAGGCTCAGCACCCCCAGTAGTAGCACCCTCAGGCTCAGCACCCCCAGGCGTAGCACCCACACGCTCAGCACCCCCAGAGTCAGCACCCCCAGGCTCAGCACCCTCAGCAGCACCAGAGTCACCAGTAACCTCGACAGGCTCGACTGCGTCTACCTGGGACACACCTGAAGGGGCAGGACCCTGAGGGGGGAGGGGGTCTACCGGGGGGGGGCCTGGCACAAGGAAGAGCGGTGGTGGGGGGAGGGACGGAGTGCGGTAGGGGAAGAGGCGGTAGTAGGGGACCGACTCGTCAAACGTGACGTCCTGGGAGGACAGAACACGGCGAGAGGTGGGGTGGTAGAACTGCCACCCTGGCGCGTCAGGGGGGAAGCCAAGGAAGACGCAAGGAGCAGCACGAGGGGACAGCTTGTCCGCAGACAAGTCGCGGACAAACGCCCGAGATCCCTAGACACGGAACGCAGACGCATCGCCAACCTTCCCCGTCCACAGCAAAGCTGGGGAGGTCTCCGGCCTGGAGACCCTAGGGTGAAGGTTGATCTGATGCGCCGCGTACCGAACCGCAAACGGCCACAGAAAATGGGGGGCAGCCGCATGCATCATGGACGTACGGGCGACGTCCATGACCATGCCAATGCGGCGCTCAGCAATCCCATTTTGCTGTGGAGAGTCCGGAAGCGTGAAGGTCTGGCGGATGCCTCGTGCTCGACAGTAGGCTCGCAGAAGGCCAGAGGAGAACTCTCCACCTCTGTCAGAGTGCAGACGCAGAACAGGAAAGTCCGAGCCGAAGCTCTGCCTGAGCTGGAGACGAGCTGCGCGGATCCAGTCGATCAACACCTC